TGTTTGGTAGTTCTATCCTTCCTATGTGCTGTTTGAGAATGAATAAATTGCTTCCAACATGAAGTTTTAATAATTGTTGTCACAAAACGTCCAAGTCTTCTTTTTGCCTTTCTTGACGTCAGTAGGTATTGAGACTTCGGTTATAATTAGGTAAACTGTGTAGCCAGTCGAAATACGAAGTAAATGAACTACACACTTTTCTTTAGCCCTCATACACACTTTTCTTTAGCCCTCTCTTCGCCATTCTTGACGTCAGTAGGTATTGAGACTTCGGTTATAATTAGGTAAACTGTGTAGCCAGTCGAAATACGAAGTAAATGAACTATACACTTTTCTTTAGCCCTCTCTTCGCCTTTCTTGACGTCAGTAGGTATTGAGACTTCGGTTATAATTAGGTAAACTGTGTAGCCAGTCGAAATACGAAGTAAATGAACTATACACTATCTGATTGCCACAGGCTCAGTTAACTTTACTTCCATTCCAAACTAACCAATACGTGTACACGCTTCGGCTCGGACCATCATCAGGGAGAAAGCCAGAAATGATTTTGAACCACACCTGCTGTATAACTGCTCCATCACAAACCGGCACTTTAGAATTGACATATTTACCTGCCTAGGACACACGTAGTTACTTCGTGAATGATCTTCTAATAATAATTGACCCTCCAAACATGGGTTTAGACACCTTACTTGTGTATTTATGTGCTATATTGGCCGGGATATGCGAAAAACATGATTTTCCGGTATAAGCGGCACTAATTTGCATACTCCTATGCAACAGACACATGTGGTCACTCTCAGAATAGATATATTGTGATATTTGACCTTGAAAACATGAGTTTAAACACCTAATTCGTTCAGTTATCTGCAATATTGGCTGAGATATAGTGAAAAATATATTTTCCGGTAATGGCGTCACTGATTTGCATAAAGAAAATACGTGAGACATATTTCGATTTTTGTTAACATAGCAATTCGTTTTCTACGCATTTTTAATTTTATCTAAAGACGTCAATTAGAAGTTGATTTCAGATGGTGCACGATAACCCCTTCTTCCCACTTAACTACACTGTTTGTCTGCAAGTCAAGATTTCATATGGGGGCACCCGCGGGGGGGGGGGGGGGGGGGGGGGCACTGACCTGCACTGGTGGGCACGTGGCCCAATGCCCCCATACTTACGCCCCTGATTTGGGCACTTTATTGTTATTATAATTGCACTTCATGTGGTAATAAGCAGTGGCGTAGACAGGAATTTTTCAGGGGGGGGGGGGGCGCTGGGGGGGGGAGGGGGCTGCAACATTTCATGGGGGGCGTCATGTAGATCAATAAGAATGTTTTTTTAGAAACTCAAAATCTCAGTGGGGGCGACTGGGGGTCGCCCCTCCCCACGCCCCCTCGTGGCTACTACACTGGTAATAAGGACCGACATATTACTATGAAGGTCACCAACTCGGCATCTGTTGTAAACTGCGGTCAAGGGTGGCTGAAAGAGCGGTTCTTGTTTCATCCTGACAGCAATAACAACCGCCCATCAACATCCAAACAAACAACCCAAGATAACCTCTGAGAGCAACCTGACATTCCGAGTAAAATGCAGTTACTCCAAACTCGACACACTCATGTCCCTGAGCAAGGTCCTAACAATAGCAGATCACATCTCTTGGCAACACTAGTTCGGGAACTGGCATAATGCCATCCTGTCAGAAAATGGGGGCCGTATCATAAGTCCGACGCCTCATAGGTCCGACGCCTCATTAGTTTGAAATGTCAATGTGTATTCGCTAAAAGAGGCGCTAATATTTTGACATGTTGGTATGAATTAATAATTAATTAATTGACCACCCAATTGACCGACGACATGTAGAAACTCTTGCCAGAGCTTAAAAACGGGGAAAAATTACTCGCACCGTGAACATTCTTTCGACCCGAATTTTCGATCGTTATTTCCTTGAGTGTTCCTTTTCATTTTTTTCAACGGATTTCCCTGCTCCAGTACGGAGCTTTTCAGGGGACATAGAGGAAAAAACAAATGAAAAAAATCTTCGTTCGCACGAAAAAAAATCTTCGTTCGAACGCAAAAAATCTTCGTTCGAACGAAAAAAATCTTCGTTCGAACGATAAAAAAATTTCGTTTGAACGAAAAAATTTTTCGTTTGCACGAAAAAAAATCTTCGTTCGAACGAACAAAATCTTCGTTCGAACGAACAAAATCTTCGTTCGAACGAACAAAACTTCTCGTTGTTTTCCCGAAAGATGTTTTGAACAATTAAGTATATCTACTAATGGCTTAAGCCGTGTTTGTTTTGGGCTTTCTTTATGCATGAGCCATACAGACTCGCAAATAAAGAAAAGCGGTCTTATAAACATGAAATTAAATCATTGGTTTTTGGTGACTTTTGTGAGTTTGTAATTGGTATTTATTTTAAAGCCTAAAGCTTTTGCAAATTGACATTGCTGTTTACTTTAAAGTACTCGTGGTTTGGCTAAAGGTTTTAACACTTGTGTAATAAAAGGACCCTTTCAGGACCCTACTTTGCAGGAAAGGCCAGAAATATTGTGGTGCCAAATCACTATCGAACTAAACATGGGAGAGAAAAGCACCTGTTCATCATCGGGATTTCAAACCAAGACCAGTTTCATAATTGGGGTATAATTTGTAGGGGGCACTTGGAGGCCTGTTTTTCTTGGGGGGGGGGCACTCAATCAGTTCTGTCACAGTTAAAAAAACTGACCAGGGGGACTACCACCAGAATGTTTCCTTCTCTAATTTCATAGTGCAGGCTGTGACGGCCCTTGCAAAGAGTCCTGGGTTTCAATCCTAATGAGAACCATATTTTTTTTGATCTTATCCCATATTTGTTTCTTTCATTTCGATCAAGCACCAAACCAAATACTACATTCTGTATGTACATTCCACACTGCCAAACCTGGAGTGTTAAATATGACACAAACAGTGTTAATCTTGATTTTTTCCAGTTATCTATATATGACGACACCCTTGGTGTAAAATATAACCAATTCTTGGAATTAACTTTTAAATTAACCACGTCGTCAACAATGGCGTCTGTGTCTCCGGCCGGCAGCCCAAGTACGCAGATTGTTTTCGTTCGAACGTAGATTTGTTTCGTTCGAACGCAGATTTTTTACGTTCGAACGCAGATTTTTTTCGTTCGAACCCCAGATTTTGTTTCGTTCGAACGCAGATTTTTTTCGTTCGAACGCAGATTTTTGTTCGTTCGAACGCAGATTTTTTTTCATTTTTTTTTCTTTTCACCTATGTCCCTTTAAAAGCTCCGTACTCCAGCATTTCACTTGAACTGATTTTTAGACAGGGATTAACTTTGTGTCCAAATAAAACCCTTTTCACACTTCCTGCACTATGTGGACCTCTTTCGTTCACATAGAATATGCATTGTTAGAACAAATGTACACACAGGCATACCAATGTGGTCTGTCATTTTATCCTTCATTAGAATTTCCCTGGTACTGTCAGACAAATACCAGCTTGTTGGGTACAATCGTTCTGTTAGTGCAGAGTACACCCTCTCGTAAAAATAAACACTTTTATCGTGGACCTCTTATTGTTTATGCTAAACATTAATTTAGAAAGAACCCTCATTGGTTTTGTAGATGATTTTCACTTTTATTTTTGGACCTCATCTAGTCTTGGCAACTTTTGTTCTCCCATGGTCTACCATTGTATGCCAATATACATGGTACACACTTATTCCATGCAGAATTACCACCCCTGAAAATTAAATCTTGACACCATCCAGACACCATCGGACAATGTGAGTATTATAATGACTTGCATATTATTTCCCTTGATTAGTGAAAAGTGCATCACTTGATTGTAACAATGTTAACTTGTTTGCCCTAAAGGGGCACAGACTATGCAAATCCCGAAACGACAAAACAACGGCTGAAAACTATCATCTACATAGTAAACAATGATCGTCGCAAGAGGTCTGTGTGCACAATCATTCGCATTGCTCCCTATACGCGTATTGTTCCAACGTGTTACATAGTTAATGTCGAACATCAATGAAGGGAGTTTAGAAACTGCAAATGGATTGAAACCGTATCATTTAATTTCGAATAAATTAATTTGTTTTCTATCGAACTCTAGCAAAATACTCGTGGTGAACTAAAATCAATTTCTGGTAGGGCCCTCTCCTCCCCCCCCCCAAAAAAAAGGCTCTGGTTTCTGGTATGCGCGCGCATCGCCGTAGCCAAGCACGTCAGCAAAATTATTATAATTTGTTTATGTAAGATGATGTCTCAAAATCGCCAAATTCACTGGTTTGACCAGAATCCTGCTGCTGCACAATTTTAACGTGTTTTTAGATGTGGTTTACGATGGACTATAAGCTTTATTGGGCCTTTCTTGGCTCCCATATATTTTGCGCAGAATAGTCGGGAACCATTTGCAGACAGTGTTGTATTTTTGTGAGTGTGGAAGCGATGGCCGTGTATCTGTAAAAACGTTTTAATTAGCGCAATTATGTGGATCAGGCTAATGACCAGCCTGGCAGCACAGGCACGATGTCGCTGTATGGTCTGACATTACCGCTTTCTCTGATTTTCGTCTTGACTATCCAAATTTCCGTCGAGATCGTTGGCCTAAGTGGGTACAGATTTTTCAAGCCTTATGGCCTTACTGACGTCACTTCAAGCTCCACCTGAAGGATATTTTTGGGAGTTTTAAGGGAGTGAAGTGTCATCATCTGCAACATCAGCCGACATTTGAAGAAGAAAATAAGTAGGGGAAAACAAAGCCGCGTCGCCGCACCCCGATTAGGGCAATTAAGCTCCATACCAGAAACCGAAGACTTTTTTTGGCATACTCCATTTTAGTTCTCTCCGTACCTCGCAAGGCTAGTTTTACAGCTAGTTTTACAAGGCAAAAATGTACGTGTCTGCCTTGTATATACAGACACCCAAAATTTTTGACAGGTATAACAATGTCATCGAGAAAATTTAATATTCATCGAGTAGGTTGGCGTGGAACGCCCACACCACCCTCTACCAATGCCGCATGCCTTAATGACAGGCATGATGTGCCGCCCAGGTCTGGGGCCAGTCCCAGCTGGCAAAGCCATAGAACAACGGGGCAGCTTTGGGTGCTGGGTCGGTCCACTTGAAGTAGGCTGCCTGCTGGTGCTTGCCTAGGGCGAAGGTGCCGTTGTCGTAACGCAGCCAGAAGCGTCGCATCTCCTGCTCGCTCAGTACGCCTGGAGATGACACGAAATGGAGTTTTCTGCACTCCGTGCAACGTCTGATAGCGGTGCCCCCACTGATTCCAAGAACTATGAATTGAGACCAAGGAAATAGCGATTTAATAGGTTAAGGTCAAGGGTTACACTTCCGAAAAAAATAAGTTCTGTAGTACAGGTTTTTGAATAAGGTAAATTGTGTGTGTTCCTATTCAGTTTGATGTCCTGAATTCAAACAAATAATGTTATCAGTGGAACACAATGGAACATGACCTACTTTTAGGGCCGTTTCAATTCTGATATATTATAATGAAAAGGCGCGCGCCTTTTCCAGTGTCGTTACTGAATAGTGCAGTCAAACGCTGCACACTTTCTCATGATCGTCGTAGTGTTATCTACGCGATTGTGGTGGAAATAATGATTTTTCTTTTGCAATTTCGTCACCGACACCACGGAGTAACACTCCACATGTTTAACCATTTTTTTGTCGATTTTCATTTTTTTTTAAAACATTTTTAAACATTAATCATCAAGGCCTACCACAGCACTACAAGAAGGTTGAAAGCTTCAAGAGCTTTACCTTAATAACTACGCCGATTATCCAAGACAGCTTTTGCGCAAAAGGGACAATTTTCCTTTTCACGAAGTAACACTCAAGTTCCATGACCATTGCAACGCATGGCGCGCACTCTGCTCAAATTTGAGCAAAGACGTTTTCACGAACTAATACTCACATTTTGTTCTGTTATTTCTTGTTGATTTAATACACAAACGGGTGAAAAAAAACCAGCAGATTAAATAAATTCGATTCATCAAGTGTCCACAACAAGAAACCAAACTGAAAATACTCTGCCGTTTTGACGCAAAGTGTTGTTTTAGAAGGCGTTCAACTTTAGATGCCGTTTTCTCCGATTGCTAGTTTTTACTGGTATGTGCATGGGTGTAACTTCGTGGTGTTGCTGACGATTTGTTCCGGAGACAAGATTTCTTACTGAAAAATCCGTAGAGAAAACGCGCTTACAAAACGACCTAAAAAAACTCAGATCGTCAATGGTATATTTTGAGCGGGTACGGCAGGGTCAGGGGCCAACATGTAGCTTTAGTAGCTGCAACGACTTACGACGTGTGCTTAACAGTGGACGAGCTTGCAGTCCCGTACACGGGACATTACGTCATGTAATGCGCCCAATAGGGCTACAAAACGCTTCAAACGAATGGATGTTACATATGTTTGGAAAGAACATTGAAAAAAAATAGGACTTATACGTCCACACAAACATCCTTACAAACTGGGCGGTTTTTATGTAATTCGTTTGAGAACGAATTGTGGATGTCAAATTCTGCGGACGTGCGAGAAACTATGTTTGTGTACCGGCTCTGCGTGTATTATGTGCCACACACACAATGTGTACTGTACATGGAACTGATATGACTGGAAACACGTATGCCTATGCCACAACATGTGTGAAGCGTCCGATGTAAACAACAACTTTTCCCGTCTTTTCTTGGTGACGTTCAGACATTAGGTAGTTTCCTTTCAACCAGACCTTTGAAGTAGGATAAGTAAACAATCTAAACCATAACGTGTTTTTTTTTAGGCCATACTGCCCATAAAACCACGCACATGACGGGCTCTTGACCAATATGAATGGCTAAATAGTCTTAAATAGTTATGAATATGGAATAAGAATCACCACCTGTATAACTACTTACAATTTGAAATGTTTTGTTCACTGAATATTCAAGAAACTACATTGCAAATATTCGAGGGCATACCACCAGTCACGACTCAGCTATTTGAGATTCTACGTTTTTTTTTTCTGGTGACGTTATATATCTAGCCCCTAACCGTTTGCTTGTCTTACCCATTTGGTACAGATTGCCTGCCTTTGTACCGTCCGTGGACAAGACGACCATTGCGGCATTGCGGGCCTGCACGGAGAAGTCCAATATGAACGCGTCATGAAAGGCAGGGAATGGAAACTTGCGACGATAGGGCACCAAATGGTAGGTGCTGTTGCATTCTGTAAGAGAGATTATCGGAAGTAGTATTACGTGTCGCAATGTTTATTTGGCAAGGCCTTCGTTACTTTGGAATTGATGTATTTTATGTATTTAAATACATTTCCAAATGCCTAAGGCTAATAAATTGTTGTATACTTCAAACATGCTACTACTATCGACTTGTCAACTTTTCAAATGTATAAGTTACGACACTCCCTCTATCTGCTCGATAAAAATCGAAAGCCGTCGGATGAACAGTTAAAATCGCGCCAACACGAGAACTTGTATAATTATTATACCATAGATCCTAATATCCTTTCGTGACAAGACTGTTTGATCGTTCAGGTGCCAAGGAGTTCGATGATTGTACATTAAATAAACAATAAATATATTAAAAATTAAGTGCGAAAGTATTTTCTGTTGTTACCTCGGTGTCTTTTAATTTGTTTGTATCCCCTCGTACCGAACTTGGCAGTGATTGGATTTTAAACTGGTTTCTGCCACGGAAATCGTCTAATCGTCCGACGTATTGCGAGGTACTTTTGTATTGCTGTAGACTACGATTATAGCTTTATAAAAACAAATACATATAAAATGTAATATAACCTTATTGCGTTGCCAAGAGCATGCATGAGATCAGCCACTGCGAGCTTCGAACTATGATTCCAAATAATAATGAAGTTCAAGACAAATGACAATCTTCCTTATTTTGGATATGACCCAATTCCTGCAGAAAGATCACGAGACCATCTTTAATTGTATAGTAAAGATCACAATTATCTTGACATTACAGAAAAATAGAATGGAAGGGGTGAATTGCAATATATTTTTACAACGGAATATATGTTTGCCTGGCCGGTTATAAACACTCTTTTTAAGACCGGTTGGAGTCTGGATGCTGACAATTACCCGAGCCGAATTCATTTTTAGGGACCGTGACTATTCAGCCCCGGTATGAAAAGGGTCCCCGGTAAGCTCGTCCCCTCCCAAGAAGTCATTTCACACCGTCCTAGCTACCGGTCCAGGAGCTGATCCGGTTGCTAATCAGAAACTCCTCTATCCTCGGGTCTATTGTTTGCAAGTATTGACACATGTAATATATCCCAGAAGAAACCCGCTTGTGGTTGTTATCTCTCAGCGTGAAACAATAAAACATTTCCATTGGCACAGATCAAAACCTCTGCCATGCGGTTTCGCGCACAATGGGACCGTAAATTACCAAGGCGTTTGAAAGGATTGTATCTTTAATCCGGTAAATCTGCTATTGTTCTGCTCTGGAGGTTCTCTAAAGGGCAATAAATTGATGCGCCTGACTGACTTCAAAACTTCTGGTCAGACAGGACCATGTACCGGACGAGACTGGGCTGAAGACCGGAGTGGCTCTGGATTGGACGAGGTACCGGGGGGCCCTTTTCATACCAGGGCTGAATGGTAACGTTCCCTTATCAGCATCCAGATTCTAACTGGTCTTAAACAGAGTGTGTAATACTGTATTCCTATTCATAAATACCTTTTTGGTAAAGAAAAACTAAACTTTGCGGTCCAAACGTCAAAACGAGTCAAAAATTTAAATTTCAACCGATTGTTGTCAACAATTTTACTTCATGTTTTTGATGTCGCGCAGGCCGCAGCCGTGGTTTGAGGGGAAAAGTGGGAATTACTAATCCTGAGGTGTTGGTCAGCTTGACTACCTCCTCAAACGAAGCTGACTTACTATCAAAAAGATGTACAAGTTGCAACTATAAGCGTGATTTGAGTTACCCTGGTCATGTAGTTCTTCTTAAACTCCTACTTCCTTCGCAACCGACATGAGTTTCAACATCTTACATTTATTTTCCTATGCCTTCATAGACGATCATAACAACACAATCTCCCAAAAGAAATCAGCAAACATCTCGATTGCTATAGGCTCAAAACTCCATTTGCAGGAAGAATTCTTTTAAATTATCCGTTTGTAACTATTACCCCTATTATTTTGAACCTTTCCCCCATTGACGTTAGAAAGGAATAAATTAAGTAAATTAGCTTCAAAACGGGTAGCACCAGCGGCCACACTCAGACAACGTTTTGCAAAGTACATTCCGTTTTGCTTAGGTTTAAATAACTCAGCATTTGTTGATCAAGAAATTCATATTTCACACGAACTAAAACACCCATTTTGGAATTTGTATCCTTGTGGTGTCATTTCTTTGTTTGAAGCACTAAAGTTTTCGAGTTTGAAAATGTATATCAAAAATGCTGCTGTTTTAACTAGAATGAATTTCCTGGGCTGAAATTTGGACTTAATATCCCTTACTTAAAATGCAATATATATTCTGATAACCTTGTGGAGACGTATTCACCTACCAAAAGTGCTTTGTGAAGAGGAATACAATGTTTTGTTCCCTATTTTGCACATGTCTCCAGAGGGTTCAGTGTACCAGATCACATATATTCGAAAGTGATACACACTAGACAGTGTACATGTACCCCGAAGGAGCAATGGCAACAACGACCGTATAAACACCGCGAGAGAACTATGGTCTGGTAATCATTGTTTCACAGTAAAAAATATAGAGATCAGCGATGCTGTAATATCAAAATGGCAGCGATGCATATCTTAACGTGTACACGATAATGAACAACACACCTACGACCTTGGGAAATCGATGAATGCCGTTATTGCCTTTATACGTGCATTTTATTGAGAACCCTCCTATGTCGAAACACACGGCGCTCCAAGAACTAGAGCACAGAGTTGTTTACGTCCAAGGAATTTGTCAGTAGAATTCACTATGAAAGAGTGCACATATATTTACTTGAATTAACGTATTTTTAAAGACATTTATGTGTATAACTTGCAGGTTTTTGTTGTAGATTCTGCTGATTGTTAATACTTGATTGTCTAGTCCAGTCTAGTCCTGTCCTGACGTGTCCTGTCTTGTCTCGTTTTGTGTTGCCTTGTTACGTCTTTTTTTTCTTGTCTTGTCCTGTCTTCTCTTGTCCTTTAATTGTTTGATGCTATATTGTTTTGGCTTTATTTGTCTTGTCTATGATTAGTCTTTTCAATGTTTATTTTTTTTTGTTTTAAATAAATGTACAATTTGATGTTATTCAGCCCCTGGGCTGCCATGTCAATTTAGATAAACCATTAATAATAATAAACACAGCTTTTGTCAAAGCTTCATTTCGTGCTGTCATCCCCGTAGATTAAAAAAATCAAATCTTCATTTCGTGTTGTCATCCCCGTAGATTACAAAATCAAATCATTTTTTTTTTTTTCTGTGTTCATATAATTTCACTGGTGATCACTTGCATCACCTTTCGATTACATAAAGTTTGGTTTCTAAACCAAATAATAGTTTAATAAAAAAAAGAGCTCATAATATTCAAGTGACCATGTTTTATTAAAGTTTCATTCAAGTGACCAAGGCCGCAGCTATCAAAATAATTGGTGTCAACAATGCCGATTATGCTGCAAGTACTAAGGCTTTTTCAGAAACATGTAGGTGTTATGCCAGATCGCAATCATTTACTGATATAGACAGGATTGAGATGCAAAGCATCAGAGTTCGGCTAATTGCTTATGTGCAGGCTTAAAGATGAATCAATTTAGCGGCTGTATATATGCACTGTTTACGCGAATGATATCACACAACATACTTTTTTTTTTTTAAATGTTGGCTTGTTTTCCCAAGTGTCATAAAAAATGAAGTACCACGTCTACACTAATGCTTATTCAGTATAGCTTTGTCAATATACCATGACACTCACTATGGGAGACCCTCGTTTGAGTTTTTTCTTTCTTTTGCATGGCATTATTTTTCTGAAAAAAAAATCCTAATATTCTACTGGTTGTTGACTGGCAATAATATTGACTGGCAGGTCATCAATTTCAAATTATGTACGCGTCCCCAAGCTAGAAATCGGCGTTAAATTAAAGTAGGCGACTAAACGGGCGACTTGACTCCTCATTGTGTATCAAATAGCGTCAATTGCTGCAAAAACCTTGTCCCCAATTACATGTGATCGTTGCCGTGGCTATATATGGTGTAAGCAAAAAAAAATGAGACTAGAATTTTAGATTGTTCACATGTTAAAATGTTTAAGGAAGACCTGTTTTATTTGTCTAAATTGTTTAAACCCCGTAAAGACAAAATCTAATTTTAAGCATTTAAAACTGGTTTAGTCATAACAACTACTTAAACATGCGAAACTAATTGATAACGTCACTTAATATTCTTACATACTAATCAACCAAGTTTTAAGACAATCGGACATTCCATGTTTTGAAAAATCGCATTTTGATGACGTCACGATAACGTCACACATTTCTCAAAAATCTACGGGCACATAAAGTAGACCTTCCAACCTCTTACTTGGAATTGAGCATGCAAATTAAACAAACACCACTTTTAAAACATGTTACATAAAGACGTCATTATAACGTCATTTCAATTGATGTTTACAACACATCAATTTTATCTTGCAGTTCTCTATCTATACAGGATTACAGGGTGAGCAAGTTTAAAAAAAAAATATTTTGCTCGCTCCATTTTATAAAAAAAAAAGGGGATAGAGTACATCTTATTGACTTTCAACTGTGAACATTTCACGTACTTTGCATACTGTATTTAAAAGTTAAGTCTATTTCAATAAAAAAAAGCTGTCGGCCATCATTCATTTACCGTTCTACGAACTGATGAATACCCATTGAGTACAATGAAACATTGACGTTTTCCCACCTCCATGAATGAACGAGCTCTTGCAAGGGAAAACATACAGAAATCACCATCAATATTTCGGGAAAAAATAGAGACGACTAACGTTCCTCATATTCAAAATACACAGTCTGACAAAAAAACTTTAAGTCTTGATTCCAATTATAAAAAAAATTCAATTGCATTTGACTGCTTGTGTGTAATCTGTAATTCTCATTAGGCTCAATATTTCCAATGGCATTCCACGGACACTGTAAAATTGGTTATGCATAACTTCTGATATTATGGATCAATTTCAGTAGTTCCTTTTTTCAGATGGAAGAACGTGCTTTTTTGACTCGCCCAGCTTTATATACCATTAAAATCATGGGACATACCGTTATTTCGTTTTACCGTTTTTGATTTCCTCCAAAACAAAAACATTTAACGAACCATCAACCGTTTTGGTTCGTTTTATAGTTGTATAAAACGACAAGCGGTATTAAGATAAATACGGTTTGACCGTTTTATAAGTTTAGTAAAATTCATTATAGCTTAACGATCAATGTTTTTTGTTTTACAGTTTTACACAAAAAACTTTGAAAAACAGCAAAACGGTCAGCATTTAATACAGACTGGTTAACAGTCCGTGGTGTATTTTGAGGCGGTGAGCGAGGGGGGGTGGAGGGGGACCATGCTTTACACGAAGAAGTGTTACCTCGGCATTATTAATGCGTGGTGTGATTCCTGGTGCGGACCCTGACCCCCTTCTTACGCAATCATTTAAGTTGGTGGGGCTTTAAGAGTTGCTAGCAAAAATGTTGCTGGAAAACTTCAAGGGAGGACATTACTTTTCACAACGGATACAGGATGGAAAGACGTTTGATGAAGTTGCAGATATTTTGAAGGAAATTGGAGTTCAGGTCGACGCAGCTCTTCAATAGCCAATACGCAAATGTCTTGAGAAAGAAATGTTAGGAGCGGGGTTCAGGCAATGACTCGATCCCAAGGATGCATTAACATTCCTAGGTGCATTGCTTAATTGCCAAACCTCAATCAAAAAATGGTGGCAAGACTATTGACTGTTTAATCATTGTCATGATAAAGCAACTAACCGTTTAACGCTTTCTACGATTAAAAGCAACAACAAAAAGTATGTGTGTGTGACTTAATACCGTTTGACCGTTTTACAAAACTGTAAAACGACAAAACGGTCACTGGTTCGTTTACTGTTTTTGTTTTTGAAGAAATCCAAAACAGTAAAACGAAATAACGGTATGTCCCGAGATTCATTAAGAGATGTTCTCTTACATCACATTCACATGGCGAATGGTAAGGTCATCTTGTATTGTCTGTGCCTAGTTTAAAGTCAATATGATTGCATTTTATAGTTTGCAATTAGAATAAAATGTTACAAATTAAACGATGTAACTATCTAAGTTTTAAGACAATCGCACATTCCATACTGTTTTCAAAAATCATATTTGTATTGAAAGCACGATTACATCACACCTTTTATACAAACATTGTGCATAAATCTCCGCCCTAACAAACCCAATACAAAAATGTCTGAATGTAACATTTTCTTGCTCTTCCAAAATGCAAATAAAATGAAAAAAAAAATGAAATGATGACTTCATCATGATGTCACACCATTTTTTTTACCACTTAACATCCTGTACTATATAAACACGCTTTTCAACCTAGTCAGCCTTGTAGTTCTCTAGATACCCTGTGTTCGAAAATGTACGTTTAAGATGCCGTCACATGACTTGTGGCAGTAGCACCGAGAATAAAACATGAACAAAATCCATGAAATTTGAGAAAGAAGAACAAGGAGAACAAAATCCATGAAATTTGAGAAAAAAGAACAAGGAGAAGAAAAAGAAGACTAGTATGTCGGATACCCCAAATTTTTAAGCTCTGAAAGGAGCTTCTATACACGTCGCTTCGTGGTCAGTCGGTCGGCCGGTCGGTCGAGTCCTGAGTTTCCCATAATATATAACTACCAATTGACCTACAATTGACAAAATGCAATACCGTCGTTGGTAAATGCACTCTTGGTAAAAGTTTTCGGAACATGCCCATTTGTCTCGATCGATGCGCATACGCGTCTATTTTGCATATGTAGTGAAATATTACGGAACCGGGCCAGAGCTCGTTGTGCACTCGCGATCGCGCTTGTTTTTTATTAATTTTTTTCATCGAGCACTTTCGGGAATGCCAATTTGTTGGGGTCAATGCACTAAGGCTCTTTTAACATGTCACGTATGTTTCATCCGCTAATTTAGCATGCGCGCATGCGAACTCAAAGTATGAAAACTGAATTTGTGTTTGTCCGTGTCGTGTAGTACAAAAGTATTGGGTCACAATATCAAAACAAGCGACACTTTAGGGGATAATTTTTCAGTTTTGCCGAATTACTGTAAACTTGTCGTCACTGACAAATGATAAAGGATGACACGGAAATTGCGATGTATAAGTATCATTAGTCGGAAACCGTTTGAATGAAAAAAAGAAAGGTTTTATTATACGTTTTTACGTTAAACGTTACGTTATTGTGCACGGCGTCACTGTTCACGGACCCTGGATCTGACCCGTTAACATGGCTAGCCATGGAATGTACTCGACGCGTTGGAAATGTATACATAGTTGAAACGATTTACAACTGACTGGTTCCAGCCCCTGAAATGCAGTTCAGTGCAATCACAGAGGCAGAATTAAACTGCAAGGAAATTATATTGCACATTTTCTGTTATAGTTCGTGAATTTTTCTCTAAAGTGATAGTATTTGTTAAAGGTATAAGGACAACAATGCCCCCACATTTTAAGCATTCATACATTAAATACGAACATTTTGAGAACACTTTGAAATGCATGTACATTGTTTTCTCGAGGCAAGGCATATGTTTCTGTTGAAAAACGCGATTGTTTTGTCGGTGCTGAAAAGACGGTGATTCTCTTTTCTCAAAAACGACAGTAAACAAGACGCATGAGATTAAGATGTACACGGTATTGTTACACCAAGTGATCGGAGGTGGGTGTTCTCTTTTAACGACCTAATGATGACTTAACTCACGAATTGGACCTGATGTTCAAGAAAAATGGTATATTTTTTTATCACACGGGAAGAAAGACGACATCTGCGTCTTTTTTTTTGCCCTGTCATCTCCTGTAAAGTGAATAAATGGTGGTCGTACCCGATTACTAGAAATGTATGTTATGTTATATATATTTATAGTAAAAGAGAGTAGGGCCTTAACAAAATAATTGCTTGGGAAGTATTTCTAATACATGCAAATAAGATGCAGTCCTACCTTTGCAAGTGTAGAATGTCTGTATTACAGCGGGGTCCTCACTGATGATTAGCTTATCAAGATAGCGAGGTTCTTCTGACCGGTAGGACGAATCAGGAATGTCCACACCTCCGAGGCGTATAGCGGTGCATTCGCACGGATCTTTGCAAGGTAAAATTTAACGGAGCGGGATACCAGATTGTGGGTTGTACTCCCACCCGATGAAACAGACTTGATTGCACGAGACAAGCGCTGAAAATTGTGCAACAAAATTTAAATAAGTAACTTTAGTATGTTTGCAAATTTGCATACGCCAACATCACAAATAATTACATCTACTATGTTCTCCGCAGGAATTTGTCGAAACGTATCAAGCGAGGTGTCCTTACCCATGTTACTAGGGTCAACGAATTAATTAATGTTATTTATTCGAAGAAAATGTGTGTACTTTATGCATTCTATGCAAATAAGCAACCGCCATTCTCATAAATAAGTACAAAATGTATATATTTTCTATGCAACGGCTGAACGGGGGGGGGGGGGGGTGCTGCAACTCGCAACCTCTACATCTGTCACTAAAATAATTTATTAAAACATATTATAATGCAACAGGCAGGAAGACCCATTGATGCCGGATGCGGGTATGGAATATCATTCGTGTTATTTGAACTATTTTTGTCTGTGAATTTTTTTTCACTGAGAACAGGAAATGCCTTTGATAATAGTAAAGAACATCAAATGAAAGTTTAGTACATAAAGACTAGAACAATATCTTCCACTTGAAAACAAATAAATTTAAGTGGCCCTTTTTCTTTCGTTATCCTGCATTACAAAAACCTAGGCATTTTTTTCGAACCACTTTAATGGATTAATCGCCTGTTAAAGTCCCTCTCAGTTCAAATCGAATTAGAATCATTATGCAAATTCATATAACTCAATGACAATTTGAACTGAATGACGTTTTTGGAAATCTTCGATCAGGCAGCATACAAATGCATATGAAAATGACCCAGTTTGGTATTCAATAGATAAAAAAAACAATCCTTTCAAACCTTTAATAATTAACAGTTCTTAACAGGACTTTGAACGAATGAAATTGCAGACTTTGTTCATGAGTTACACGAAACTTTACGCATTAAAGCGAATAAAATTTGAAGGAATAGATATACAGTACAACAAATGTCGATAGTTAAAGTGGACTTGCAATAAGTGCTTTTCTTATATAGTTTAACTGACTAGATACTTGCTCAAGGCTTGGCATCAGATAAATTGTTGTTATGGGTAAACAGTCAGCTTACCTGTTAGTGTTGATGCCGTCAGAATCATTGCTATTACCACGTCCATTCTCCAAGATGCAGTAAACGTGAATCCGCCAGGTTGATCTCACGTTATATCAACGAGTACACTTACATCCCAACGCGTCAACACGGTAGCAGTTGTTGCAAGTAAACATAATACATGACGTCATGCATCATGTGGCGTGCCAAATAAAGAATAGTTCAGGTTAAATTTATGCAGCTTGAAAGGGGAAATAACGGCCCGAAATCCCGGAATCTTGTTATCCTTTGGATTGTTTACTTATCCTATATCAAAGGTCTGGTTGAAAAGAAACTAATCCGCTCCCGCGAATAAGAAGAAAACAAACCCGGTGTTTATATAGGAAGAGGCGGATATTTTGTGGCATACGCATACGTATTTCCAGGTGTGCCCATTCAATGTACTGTTAACGTTGTTTGTGTGTGTGTGTCTCAGCACAGCACCCGTGTTGTTTCTCGCGGAACTGCAGAATATGATGCAGTGTGTGTGCATGATTCACAACTAGCAACCAAAAGCTTGATTTTTGAAATTGATTAGATGGTTTTCGCAAGAATAACACAAACAAATTAAAAAAAACACCTACTTTTTAAATGATGGTTGTGTGGACATTTACATCTTACTTTTGAATATTCTTTACAATTAACATAATTTGTTTAAAATTCATCTTGTATCCCAAGTGGGAGCATTCCCGGAGGTAACGTCCAATTAATGGTATTAGTATAGATTGAAACAAATCATTGTCCCGGTATCAAAATACCACTTCAACCACGTCGAGACAAGTCAATGTATCTTCTTTGAGGTACTTAATCAGAATGTGGATAAAGAAACATGAATTTGCCCCTATCTTTTCTTTCACTTTCTGTGTTTTTGTTTGGTTTTCAAGTTTTTACTTTTTGTCTTCAGATTTTCCCCCTAAATTAAATGTAATACAATGTTTAAAAGAAAGCTCCTGCACACGCAGAGAAAAGGGTCCTATCTGAGGGAAAATGCAAAGAACTTTTAAGTTCTCGGCAATACCCAAGAAATATAGTTATAATGAGCGCTTGAGACCTCCCATTTTTTTTATTTGACATTTAAAATGGCAAGCTGTATAAAAGAATAGTTATTACAGCGTCGTTTTTCCAAGGTCTTTAGTGTATTGCTTCATTTTGCAGATGGATAGATATGTATATATACATATGTACATATGGAGATGTAGACATTGCTTAATTATTGCTCTCTCTTGGTTGTGTACTACCCTAAACGTAACACTGGGCAATTACGGAAAAAACTCCGACAAAAATGAGGTCACGGTTTTTAGACAATCTCCAAAATATTTCGCAAAGACTGCCCTTTTTGTATTCAAATGCCCTTATTTTTAACCCGCGCCTTTTTTTAGCAAGTGCCTTTTTTCTGAACAAGTGCCCTTTTTAAAAGTGAGTGGTGGCCTTTGTTGTGCCATCGGTTGTTTCGGGTGCATTTTTTTGTTAATTTCGCTCATGTATCGCCGTTAAAAGCACCATATACTGTCCGTTAAGATGTTGATCTTAACTTTTCTATGCAGCTTGAATACCTGTGAGAGTTCTGAGTATTTTAAAAAGAATTTTGAAGTATGGGCATTTAGCAGTAGTGTCTATGGGAATTTATTTGCAGGGTAGCGTCGCTATATGCAACTATGAACACCGTTTTTTTTTTTTAAGGCATCAGATGCTGTTTCTGCGGATGTCGTTGGTTGTCCAGTTGTTTTGTAACTTTGGGCAGCTTTACGGCTTTTTCCCCTACACGCAGTTTTACCACCTCTGACCATGCGTAAATTTTGCTTTTTTTTTTCCACCGAGGCGAATTAGGCGGGCAGGCTAAATACCCCTGGTTCATTTACCGGGAGACGGTATTGTTATTGAGGAAGTGTGGGACCCTTCAAGCCAAAGCGGGAGACGGTCCATGCATGAACGCACACGGTATGGCCGTACATGGTGATAGTTTGTAGTGGGACTTGTAAGTGGACAGGCAGACAAAAGATCAATTACAGGATAAGTGATCCTTTGTTGGATGTTTACTGCCCTTCTTAAATCCCTGGCAGTTCACTTTAGTTAGTCACTTTCTCATTAGGGTTTGACGTAAAATTGAACAAGTGTCCACAGGGTGAGAAGAATAACATCCGCTTTTTCTTTGCCTTCTTAAACTTGTTGATGAGAAAGAATAATTAATCAATGAATTATTTGGTTTACTAGTCTTTTGTCGTTCTTTCATTTTTGTTTCGTCTTTTTTGGGGTTTATTTGCATTCATGTGGCTGCTTGAGAGTAAGGAGTCAAAGTTATATATAGGGTTAAGTTGAAAATAATAAAAGGGGAGAGGGAGTTTTCTTTTTATTTAATTTTTTATTTCATTAGCACAGGAATATCTCTTTTGTGAACATGTGTGGCTATAAAAAAAACCGTTTGGTTTTAGTTTTGAGTTTGAGTTTTTTCCTCAGATCTCAACAATTGGTGTTAACATTTTTTTTTATACATGGTTATTTCAGTTCACTAGTATTTCATTTTGAAGTTAATTTTATCTTGCAGGTTATAATAAAATGTTTTCCATATAAACGTACTATTTCTGTAGGTGCTCATTCACGTGTTTCTTAAGATATTCTTTACAAGAGCAATGTAGTTAATAATACAAAGTAAATCTCATTGAAAATAAAAATAGTGTTATACTTTAAACACATCTCCCCTCGGCCGTTTCCGCACGAACTTCGTGATTTGGATACTTTCTTTGGTTTCATCCTTTCATTTTTTTCCTTTCGTTTTTATTCCCTCCCTTTTCGTACGTTCCCTTTAGCTAAGGTGTATATCAAAATTCATGTAAAGCTACAAACAATTTAAAAAAACCCAAAACAAGTACTGTAATTTATTGTTAGCGAGTAAAGAATTTTTTTGCATCGTGGCTTTCTTAGTTTTCGACTTGCAGTCCTTCCAAAAACACCTGAGCGAAAAGCAGCAGAGCATTGTGTCAATTGGCCGTCGTATTGATGACGACACTAATTACACGTGAGGAGCTTTTTTTTACGGAGCTAGTGAGAACCAATAGCTCTGTAGAAAAAGTGCTCACCATGAAGTGTGGTATCATTGATACGAAATTTCCATTCCATATAACCTGAATAAAAGGCCTACATGTACGTCACATGCTATCAATGCTGTAGTAGTCACCAGTTACAGTGAACAATAGCTCTGTGCAGAGGATTAGTGAGGCCCCTGGTCTTTGCGGTCAGTTAGTGGAAGCCCTCATCACTGCAGGATATAAAAACCACAGGATTCATTGTTATTAGAAATAATGTTGATTTGTATCGGGAGCCGGCAGTGCCAACCGTCGGACGGTTTGTAGAAACAGGTCACCCGCTTTCTATGCAAGCGGGAGCCGATTAAAGAGGGGCTCAATTGAAAGCGGCTCCCGGTAAATGAACTGGGGGTATTTAGCCTGTCCGCCTTAATTCCTCAGTCCGGGCTAGTTTTGTTCCGGTTATTTGCTTACAGTGTTGTAGTCGAGTACTGCCAGTACGAGTACTGGTACTACCGAGTACGAGTACGATTAGGCCTACTTGTATTCCGAGTACGAGTTCTTCTATTTTCGAATACGGCCATACGGCACATTGTTTGTGCGTAATTTGCCCATGCCCAGACCGATATACAAACCCACTCGCGGCTACCTGTTAAATGTTTTTGTCCGGACGTGCAGAGAAGAAAATCAGGAAACTTCGATTTCTCCGCAAGCTAACCATTTCAAACTGAAAGTATCAATAAAATAAGGCCGTGGAAAGTCAAGCTCTACCATATTTTTTCGAGTACTGCTATTAAGGTACGAGTACTTTGATGATCGAGTACATTTTGGACATATCGAGTACGAGGACTTTGTTGACCGAGTACGAGTACTTTGACCAGGGATGCTTTTTGAAGGATCCACTAGGAAACGCTGCAAGGGCGACGGTGTTGAGAGGCACTGAGCTGTCCATGTCTTGGTGGTCCAGTTGAGATGGTCTTGTTTGGCTGAGAGGTCTTAATCAGTTGCTTAGCATCCGGGCGAACGGCTTCCTCGAAGGAGCGTTATGTCGTATGCGAACTGCAAGATGTCTATTATTGTCTCTAGATTGTGATGCCTTTTTTCGATATAAAAGAGCTGAGATGATTTCACACATCCCTGTCGCACTCCTACTGTTGTGTAGAACCAGTCTGTCAGTTCGCCATTTACCCTCACAACACTTCCCGTAGAGAGCTTGTAATAGTCCAGTAATCTTATTTGTGAATCCTGCGAAGCCGAGGGCCTTCCATAGTCTGTACTTCCTGTCATACACAATCAACAACTTTAAATAGTCCAGATAGCAGCATTAAATACCTCTCATTTTAAAGATTTCTTTTTGAGCTATCCGTCTTATTTGGTAAATAAATTATTGAAATTTGACCAACCTGGTCTAAACACTGCTTGGACGTCTGAAAGAAATTATTCAGCTTTAGTTAGGATCTGTCTTTGAAGTATTGTGGTGAGTATCTCACAAAGATGACTTAGTAGGAAGTTAAGTGTCACATATTGTGTTTTATTTATATTCCTCTTTACCCTGCCTTAGTTCTTTGTCAGTGATGTTAACATATCCGGGAACTTTCGATTTTGTTCGTAAAGGATTAGGCCCACAGGCTTTGTATCCTACAAGGCATTTGGGAACACGATTTGTGTCTTTCTCGTCATTCTCGTTGGTTGTAGAGTCTTCGAAGTGTAGATTCCACGTGTCTTAAACTTCATCATTTTTGCCAACATCATTTGCAATTGTGGGACTGTTTTTCCTTGTTCTCATGTATGCATTTGTCGGGGCATCCTATTCGTTGTTTTTCTCTTTAACTCCCTATTTAAGAAGTTGTGTTTCCTTCTTTTGGCTGAGGCTAAGAGTGTTTATTGCTTTACTTCGATGTGCTCTTCGGGACTGCTGCACCAAGTGAAAATAGCGGCTCAAATGGAATACATTCAACTTACACATTCTCCAAAACTCTAAGGACTAGCG